TTCTATAATAACTAAAGGAACTATAAACTTCCTAAAAGCAGAAATTGGTAACGAAAATATATTAATTACTGCTTGTTATCGATCACCATCATCTAACGCTGATGATTTCTTACAAATTTTACAAGAATATTTTGAAGAAAATCAGTCAAAAAAATACGAATACAGCATTTTTCTTGGAGATATAAATATAAACATTTTAGAAAATAATTACAATAAAACGGAGTACTTGAATATACTAAATGAATTTGGATACATATCAATGATAAACAAACCTACTAGACAAAAAACTTGTATAGACCACATTTTCCTTAAACCAAAAAAATATGAGTCGATTGATATGACCATCCCAATAATATTTAAATCAAACATTACCGATCATGATTCAATTATTCTGCAAGTCGTTTTTGAGGATGAAAGAAAAAAATCAATTATCACAAAATATAAAGAATTCATAGATTACCCTAAACTTATAGAATTATTTAAGAACAATTCGTGGGACTCCATTTTCACACTAGAGGACCCAAATAATGCAGCAAATAATTTTATTACGGAAATTAAAACAATGACAAAATATTGCACTACAAAAAAACACGAAAAAACACTAACTTTGCACCGTGGCTCACAAATAGTCTATTAAAATTAATTAATAAAAAGAATAAAATGTATAAAAAAACGATTTTACATCCTGAAAAGATTTTATTAAAAGACGACTATACGTCATTCAAAAATAAACTTACAAATGAATTAAAGAGAACTAAACAAAATTATTATAAAAAACAACTTGAAAAAAATAAAAATAATTCAAAATATTTGTGGAACACGGTACAAGGACTTTGCGGAAGGAAAACTAAAAAATGTAATATTGAAAAAATTATTAACGACACTGGAGTTTTATTAACTACTAACATGCAGATAGCTAACGAATTTAATAAACAATTTGTCAAGTTTGGGAAAACACTTGCAGAAAAAATTGAAAAAGACGCTAAGTATAAATGCAAATCAAACACTTTATCTAACTCAATGCTACTAACACCTACAAATCCTAAGGAAATATTTAATCTCATTAATGTTTTAAAAAATAATAAATCTCCAGGATCTGATGAAATTAAATCAGAGCTTTTAAAAAAAGTATCCTATCATATCTCAGATCCATTAGCTTACATAATAAATAAAAGTATTGAAAAGGGAATATGGCCTGATGCATTCAAAAGCTCTATTGTAATACCTGTTTATAAAAATGGAGATAAAACATCTGTTTGTAATTATAGACCAATATCATTGATTAGTCATCTGGCTAAAGTTTTTGAAAAACTTATAAAAAATAGGCTATCATCATTCATAAATCGATATAATCTTTTGTCAAATAAACAATATGGATTCAAAGAAAAGACCTCAACTGTGGACGCTATTTTAAATTTAACAAAAAATATATACAAATCGCTGGAAAATGGGAAACCTTGCTTATGCCTATTTATAGATTTAAGTAAGGCTTTTGACACGGTAAGTCATCCGTTGTTAATCCAAACCCTAGAAGATGTGGGGATCAGGGGAAACGTTCTAACTCTTTTTAAAAGTTATCTATGTACAAGAAACCAAGTTGTAAAAGTAGGGGATAACATAAGCGAAGAGGCATCTATTGAATATGGTGTACCACAGGGCACAGTCCTAGGGCCTATTTTGTTTAATCTGTATGTGAACGAGCTGTTTCGCTTAGATACAACTGGTGAAATCATAGGATACGCAGATGATACTGCCATTTTTTATGAAGCAGACACTTGGCAACAACTCAAAACAAAAGTAGAAACCGACATTAAGGCAATAAAAAAATGGTTCGACCATAAGCTCTTAACAATGAATTTAAATAAGACCAAATTTTTACCTTTTAGTTGTAACGCCAGCGGAGTAACAGACTTTCAACAAATTAACATTGAAATTAATGGAAAAAATTTTGGCATTAAATCGGTTGTCGAAATGAAATATTTGGGGATATATTTGGATTGTCACTTAAGGTGGGATAAACATATTAATCAGGTAGTAAAAAAATTGCAGCAAATTATTTACACTTTTAAACATCTAAAAGAGTTCTTACCTATTAAATATCTAAAACAACTTTATCTCGCTCTTGTTGAAAGCCATCTTAGGTATGGAATTCCGATATGGGGCGCAGCTGCACGTACCTATATAAATACCCTCGAAACTATCCAAAAACGAATTATAAAAATAATCGTGTCAAAACCCTCTAGGTATCCGACTGATGAATTATATAAAATATCGGATATAATGGATTTGAGACAACTGTTTTATTACAATACATGCATTAAATACCATTCTAGTGATGATAAAGCACCTCATGCAGATCATCAGTACTACACCAGGCATCGAGAATTACTTACACACCCATTGTTAAAGAAATCATTCTCACAGAAAGCCTATTCATACATTGCCACTAAAATGTACAATACTATCCCCAAAACTACCAAAATGATACAAAACACAAGTACATTCAAAAAACACTTAAGAACGTTTTTACAAAAGACTCCAAGATCCTTTTTTAATGCCTTAATAGATGAATTATATAAATAATTTTAATTGAATCCATTTTTAGCACTCTTTTACTAAATATATATTATATTTTATTTTTTATTGTATACTTATTCTAGTTATTAGTGTAAATTTTAAATTGTAAATCTAATTTTAGCTATTAATATTACTATCATTATTATTATTTTTTATTATTATTCTTATTTTTTATTTTTATTAATTACTAATATTTTTAAATATAAATTTTAATCATATTTTCTATTATCGAAACAAGTACATCAGTACTTATCGATACTCTAACTTTATTTATATTTTGTATACACGTTTTTTTTTTCTTTATTTTATTGTACTCCATTTATAAATAAAGTTTCTATTATTATTATTATCTACCAGAAGAAACTGATATTGATGTAGTAACTGACAACTTAAAAGCAAATTGTTCAAACGCTTACGAAGTCAAGGCCCAACCACCCATCAAGGAAGTTGTTACAAAAAAGAATACTTTAGTTATCGCTAGAGCATCGTCAGTGTCAGAACGCCTAAGAATTCGGTGAGAACAGGGGGTCCTATTACCAGGGGTATCCAAAAAAAACAACAGTCATATTTTGTATATTGTGCAATTGTTCATATTAATGTGCTGCTATTTGTAGTTCAATAGTATTTTAATATTTTAGTAATTTTTTTTTGTCGTAAATAAAAATGAGAATAAGTGTAGTTAATATTAATATTAGGTCTCTTGTATTGCATCTCAATGCTTTTAAAGATTTAGTTTATTGCAAATATGATATTATTGGAGTAACAACTTAATGGTTATCGGGGAAGTAGAGGAGGTGGATTACTAATCCACATTAAAAATAACATTAAAGCCAACTTTATTCAGGGGCTCAATTTAAGTAACACTGAAGAATTGTGGGTTTCCTTTATATTAGATAAGAAATATGCATTGGGGATTTTTTATAGACCACATTCCCACACAGTTTCTAACTTCCTGGAAAACTTTGAAATGTCTCTTAGTATCGTTGCACCTAAATTTAATCAAATAATCTTATTAGAAGACTTTAATATCGATGCAATGGTGCCTGATAGTTGTTGCTATAAGAGGTTTAATAGTATCTTACAGTCCTACGATTTATCTCAGTTAATTCATGAACCAACACAGTATGGATCGACAAGTGCTACTGCTTTGGACTTGGTCTTGCTCTGAAACTATCAAGGGTAATGTATCTGTAACTGATGCATCTATTGTAGCTGATCATTGTATGTCACCTCTAACATTTTCCAATAAAGTTCCAAAAAAAGATCCCTTCTTATCACGTTTAGAAATTTCAAGTCTTTCAACATTGCGCATTTTACTGCTGAATTAGAAGCAGCTAATTTTGATAAAAATTTTCATTTACGTAATATTGATGATAAAATTGAATATTTTAATAATATCTTTCTCGTCCTTTTTGACCACCATGCACCACAAAAGACTGTAAAAATTACACGTCCTTCTGCTCCTTGGATCACATACACTATTAAGAAAATGATGTCCCTTAGAGACAGATCATTAGTAAGGTTTAAGAGAACCGGTGTTCAGGGTCATTGGGAGTATTACAAACAGATAAGAAATGAATTTAAGAGTGCAATACAAAGAGAAAAAAGGCTTATTTAGAATTTAAGTTAAGAAACTGCTGAAATCAAAAAACATTCTGGTAGGAATTAGGTAATCTAGATATTTACTCTAAATGTAAGAACCATTCCTTGCCAATAGAAATTAACGAGTATTTTGTAAATGCTTAGAAATTTGATTTTCCTGTGGATAATTTAACAGTCGACTAGTACAAAAATAATATATTGCCTAATATTGTTTCTTTTAATTTTTCATTAACGAACCTAGAAATATATAGAACTATATTATCGTTTAAGCACTTAAATTTCCCATCGGATTTGAATGAAATATTTTAATTTTCTTTAAATATTCTTTATAAAAATAGTTTATTCAGAATTAAAGCAATCACTTGAAACTCGAATCATCGAGAAAAACATAGGTACTCAAATGTTTTTGTTTCGAACTGCATTCTTTTTCAAACAACATTTAAATATATACTTTAGTGGTTTTTATTGTTTCGGAATTTGTAATAAAATTGTGGTTTTGTTGTTGGAAATTTCACATACGTGATTAATTTATGTCTCATTTGATATACGGATATAGAGCAAAATATTTAAATAACAGTAATCATTCAGCTTTAAAACGTCCGATTCGTCAACTTGTTTTAATTTGATCACCTAAATATTTTAATCCTAAAATAAATAATGGTTATTGGTTCAAATTCGGTCGAACAAATTATGTTTCTAATTTTAATGTACACACGATAATGTTGGTAATAAACAGTTTCTACAAATCCAGAAGTATTGACTTTTTTTAAGTTTGGAATCATTGAATAAAAAATAATTTCAATATATTTATTTTTTTGTAGATTCGCAACCCCCTGACGTCACTCACAACACTGCTCAAGGTGGACGTAGGCCGGCAGCTGATAGAGTAAATCGTTATGGTTCTTCGGGATCGGATGATACCGTAGGAACTGGTACTGGAAGATGGAAAGTCTCTACCAAAATTCAGCAGTTACTGAATACGTTAAAGAGACCGAAACGACGGCCATTACCGGAATTCTATGAAGACGACGACATTGAGTTAGAAATCGCTGCTAACCCCAAAGATCCGAATGCTCCTAAACCAGAAGGTAAGAATTTTTAAAGCATTTTTGTCTTTACCTTAATTTGACATCCTCGGTTATACATATAATTCCAAGCTCTGTTTACCAATATATACAAAAAAAAATTAACATCTGGTCGACAAATATTTTGATGAGGTGAAGTCCTTACCTGGAATGACTTATTAACATATGAGGTCTGATAATCACCTTATAATTTCCTAATCATACATTCATTCGTTTTGTAGAAATACCTTGTTGCCAGATTTTTTCACTACAATATATGGATAGTTAATGCACTTTGTTTGTTCTTGTGGAGGTTCACCTTTTTTCTTGCATCCTGGAATTTTGGGCACTTGACAAGTAGGTATTTCACCATAAGTGTCTAATTACATTAACAGCATTTAGGGGGTTGCTTTATACTGAACAAGCGTTGGTGTGTGGTTCTGTAGCTGCACCCTATTCTTAAGATTGGTTTATACGGGATAGAAACTAGCGATAGGTTTACTTATAAGAAAGATTAAAATCAATTTCTTTCAGTAAAGTAAATTCTAGTAGTTAGACATTCTAGTAAGGGAAAATGTCTTTCTATAGAAAGAAATTGTCAGATGCTGTTATTATTGCAATTTCACCAAAGCGACGAATAGAAAAGACTAGAAAAAGAGTATGGGTCAAAGAATGGATAACCAGAGGGCTTACTGTTGGTGCTAATGATAAACTATTGTATTAATTGAAAAGTTAGAATCCAAATAAAATTAGTAAAACTCGTATAGGTATCATCAGTATCTTGATGACTTTTTTTTCACTTCTGTTTTGCTTGGCTTCGAAGTTTGTGTTGAATTTCCGCCTCGGTTGTTTCAAATTTTTCGGCTATAAATTTTAATGCCTTTTGTTTTTTTTACTCTTGATAAACTTTCAAATCCTTTAAAAATATTTATTAAAAGAACGATTTCCTTCTTCGCCCACGCACGTTTTATTCCATTTTATAACTTGCACAAAAACTTTTAGCAAGCCTGTAGTAAATGTTTGCTTCCTAGAGTGCTCCTCCAACTTTCTTAGATACGCAAGCGATTCTTGCTGCAACCACTTTACGTAATTTTTCGACATGCTAAAAGAGAACTCTCAGACAGTGTTTACATTTATCGATATTCTTTCTTGCTCATATAAACGCTCGTTAGTCTGGTATTGTTTATTTGCTGAAAAATCTAAACTGTGCCTGTGGTTTTGGTTTTATTTCCTGGAGTTTTGAGTCATATTGATTCCATTTTTGTGTTTGTTACATCTGATGCAAATTTCTCTTTTATAACTATATGCAAGGCCAACCATATGAATTCCACAGGTTGGTCTAATTACAATGTGTGAGAAGTTGATGTTTTATTCGTTGAAGAAGTGTTGTGGGTATATTGGCTTTATTTCTTGATGTTCGTTTAGGGAATGTTATTATTATCTTCTCTATATCTATGCATAATTTTAATGCTGCACTGAGAGAATTCGATATCTATGTATGTTTTTCTCGAATAGCCTTGTAACAGGATCTAATCTTATCAATGACTATTTTAAGCTGTTGTCCTCATATACATTCACATAAAGCGCATTCATTACTTAAAGGTTTCTATCTCCTTTAAACGCAACAACAGATATTTTAACTGTATTTGGTGAATGTTAGAGACAGCATCTTTATTAAAAGATATTGCTTCATTTCGAAAACAGTGGTTCCAGATTTGTCGTTTACATCATCTGCAAATATACTTGAGCTAGTTTTTTTTTTGTATCCCACGGGATACAGAACATTTTGAATGTTTCTACGCCTTGTCTATATTCAATTATAGAAAGAAATCTACTTCTATATCCAAAAATACCCTTAGTCATATGTTCGCTTCTCAAAGCTTTCTTATTGATCATGAAACCGATATTGTTTATACACATCTTCCCGTATATTAGTATTTTATCTAGAAATTCTAGAAATTATATACTTACAGGTCTAAAAAATAGATATTTATATTTGAAATTTCATGTGAGTAATAGTAGATTATATTATTGGGAGAAAAAATAAAGCTTTTTGTGCTGAAGCTGCTAAGCCAAAGCAGCTGAAGAACAAAAAGCTTTTTTTTCTCAAAATAATATACGATTTTTTTTTTCAAAGGGTAAATTGCAGAATCACAGTGGTAAGGATTTTTCTATTTATTTGCACATAGATGTGAAAGTTTATTTGTCAACCAGAACCAGCCATAAATCGAAACCACGTCGCCGTTTTAATTATTATAATCTGTTGACCAAAAAGCCCTGTAATTATGTCTGATTTCGAATTTCATTGTACAGCACCTAAAATTCAGCAGCAAGAGCAACTGTGGATAATTTTTTGCTAAACCAAGTCTATATTAAACATTTATTTTATATGCTAAGGTGTATAAAGTGACAGCTTTTGCATTATTTGTCCAGTTGTATAAGTTTTCACTTTTGTGACGTTTAAGAAAGATATTATTTGATTTTATTTCTTGTTTTAATAGGAAGCTGCATGAGTCCCGCAGTAGGTGAACAATTGGTAGTTCCATCGGGACTACCAAGAAGTTTAGAGGCCGCCATAACCAGGTATGGCAATGGTACATATAAAGCTCCAGTAGCAACTGTATTAGATCCAAATGGAAAAATGTCAGTAACATTAACGTACGGTAAGTTATCGATTCTACCATTCGCCTTTTGGCGGCGTTTTTAGTTCAAAAATATAAGCAATTCATAATATTTTTTTGTTTTAGGTAAACTTCTAAGTCGATCGCACAAAATAGCATACGCACTTTTGACCAAATCGTTTAGCAAAAATGGTGATACTAGTCTAAAATCTGGTGATCGTGTAGCTCTAGTCTATCCAAATAATGATCCAATCAACTTTTTGTGTGCTTTCTACGGATGCCTGCAAGCTGGCATCGTACCAGTGCCAATAGAAGTGCCTATCACAAGAAGAGACGCAGGATCTCTACAAATTGGATTCCTTTTGGGCAGTTGTGCAGTCCAAGTGGCTTTAACTTCTGAAGCTTGTTTAAAGGGACTGCCTAAGACCGCTTCAGGAGAGGTGATCCAGTTCAAGGGATGGCCCAAGCTGACGTGGTTCGTTACCGAACATTTAGCTAAGACTCCAAAAGACTGGTCCCCTACACCTAGGTAAAGTTAACGGCAATTTGCATTAAGATCAAAACAGTATCACACATATTTTTTTCTTTCAGATTGACTGATGAAACACCTGCATATATAGAATACAGTACCGACCGTGACGGCTCAGTAATGGGTGTAACCATCACGCGCACAGCAATGGTACAACATTGTCGAATGTTGACCATGTCCTGTAATTACACCGAAGGAGAAAACATGGTTTGCGTTTTAGACTTTAAAAGAGAAGTCGGAATGTGGCACTCAGTATTAACAAGCGTATTAAATGGCATGCACGTGATCTACATCCCTTACGCATTAATGAAAGTCAACCCAGCAAGTTGGATGCAAATGATTACTAAGCATCGTGCTTCTGTTGCCGTAGTCAAGTCCAGAGACCTTCATTGGGGTCTGCTAGCTACGAAAGACCACAAAGATGTCAACCTGGGTTCGCTGAGGATGCTTCTAGTTGCAGATGGAGCGAATCCTTGGTCGCTAAGCTCCTGTGATCAATTCCTATCAGTATTTCAGACGAAAGGACTCCGAGCTGACGCTATTTGTCCTTGTGCCAGCTCCAGTGAGGTTTTGACAGTGTCCGTCAGAAGGCCTGGTAGAGGAGGAGTTAATGCTACTGGTAGAGGCGTTTTGTCAATGCAAGGATTAAGTTATGGTGTTGTTAGAGTAGATCAGGAGAACAGTTTGACTTCATTGACATTACAAGACTGTGGACAAGTGATGCCAGGTAAGTTTGCATTAATGTTAAAAAATTATCCCATTACTTTAAATTGTTGAAAAATCAGGGTTGGCAAATATCATGATATTTATCATGAATATCAAAATAACGGATATAGACACACTGGTCTGCTTAAGTCGGCACCATATGGGAAACTTTTTTATTATTGGTTTTATGAAAAAAATTATTCTTTATAAAAATTTATATGTATTGTCAAAAAACTAAAATACAACCATCAGATATAAAAAAAAAATATTTCTTGTACGAGGATTGCCAAAAGAGTATTTTTTTACAACAGTAAAGTACCTTTATTTTTAACAATATCAAAAATTATTATTAAGAAAAGTTGATCAGAATTGAAAACTACGGTCAAATATTTAATATTATCCATCTACTATAAAAAAACATTCTTTTTTTATTTTACTCTTCCTTACAGTAGCATTGATAATTTATATCTAGACATCAATAGAATACTTTGAACAACAAATTAAAGACAATAAACGTCATAACACTAGTTGATATTTATTAAGCATTCCAAACAAATGAATTGCCAGTGGAAAGGTTTGGTATATCTAAGGGTTGCGACATACGAAGTATTCTATCTACATTATGTAAAATCATGAATAAAGGATTACATTTAAATATTTTAGGCCGAACACAATAAAAATATTATTTAAAAAAATCGCTTTTACATTTTTTCATAAATTGACAGGCTTAAAGACTACTATTTCGAGTAAAAATAACGTCCAAGATGTAAGACTATGTCGCTACCACCTTAGATATCCGAAACCTTCCCACTGACAGCTATTGTTTGACATGTCGTTGGAATTCCTAATAAAATGAATGAAATTGATATTTAGTCTAGGATGCACTGACAAATTTTTGACAGTAAAGGTCAAAACACTACTTAGAATTTATAAAATGCAAGAAATGGATATCTGGAAATCTCACCTTAGTTTTATTTCTAATCATTTTCTTAATAACAATTTACGATATTAAAATAAATAAATAAATGCGATATACAGTGTAAATCCTAAGTAAATACTAGGAACTATGTATAGAAGTTAAAATAAACAACTTTTTAATATAACTTTTCCATATCTTTTTCATATAACCTTTTCATATAACATTTCATATAACCTTTTCATATAACCTTATCATATAACCTTTTCATATAACCTTTTCATATAACCTTTTCATATAACCTTTTTATATAACCTTTTCATATAACCTTTTCGTATAACTTTTTCATATAACCTTTTCATATAACCTTTTCATATAACCTTTTCATATAACCTTTTCATATAACCTTTTCATATAACCTTTTCATATAACATTTTCATATAACATTTTCATATAACATTTTCATATAACCTTTTCATATAACCTTTTCATATCTTTTCATATAACCTTTTCATATAACCTTTTCATATAACCTTTTCATATAACCTTTTCATATAACCTTTTCATATAACCTTTTCATATAACCTTTTCATATAACCTTTTCATATAACCTTTTCATATAACCTTTTCATTAACCTTTTCATACATATTCATATAACTTTTTATGTCTTTTTATATAACTTTTTATATAACTTTTCAATTAAATTTTTAATTAACTTTTTCCTATTACTTTTTCGTATAACTTTTTCATATAACTGTTTCAAAAACACTCAAAAATAAGAAACTTACATTAAAATGTATCCAATACGGTCCTGTAAATAATGTGTTCAAAGTTTTCACCAATCACTGAAGTGTTGAAATACAAGGTGAACCGTTCACTGTACATTCTGTACAACACTGATGAAGCACTTGATGCATACGAATTTGAAGGCACTCGCCATAAAAGCAACAAATTCTCATGTTCATTGTTGTCATATAAACAATCTACTGAACATCCAAGTAAATTATAATGATCGGTGAAGCGTGTGATTCGCAATAAAAACCTAAAAAAAAAAAATTAAAAATAATAAAAAACAAATATAATTTTTTTTAATAAATTCCAAAAATTAGATTTTTTAATTCATTATAATTCTTATTTTTTGTGTTTTTTAAAATAAAGTTTTTTCAAAAAGATATTTATTTTAACGATCTATACACAGTTAAAAAAAGTATCAACTTAAGAGTGGTTAACTCTGTGAAAAATGATTTATATTTGACTTGATATTGATTATGTATCTCTGTTTCTAGGTTGTGTGATAGTTGTAGTAAAAATGGAAGGACCCTCTTACCTCTGCAAGACAGACGAAGTGGGAGAAATATGCGTCAATTCAGGAGCAACCGGTACCCAGTACTGGGGTCTGCAAGGTCTTAGTAACAGTACTTTCAAAGTACAACCGCTAGGAACTGACGGCAAACCAATATCGGATGCAGAATACACTAGGTCCGGTCTGTTAGGATTTTTAGGACCTGGTGGGTTGGTATTCGTTTGTGGATCGCGCGATGGACTAATGACGGTGACGGGAAGGAAGCACAATGTGGACGATATAATAGCGACAGTTTTGGCTGTGGAACCGATGAAGTTCATTTACCGAGGACGTATAGCTGTGTTTAGCATCAAAGTTTTGAGAGACGAAAGAATTTGTGTCATAGCCGAACAAAGACCAGATTGTAGCGAAGAAGAGGTAAGTTAATAGATTAACATCTAGGTTCTCTCGAATACAGCTGGCTAAAGGCTTCATTTAAGGTTTTATAATGTTATTGGTTTCGTGCTTTGTCTACTCTGTTGACGATTCTATGCTGATTTTTGCAATTATTAAGAAGTTTATTCTTCGACTTCTCTATCAGCAAGAACCTGGCACTCACTATTGTAAAGTATCCTTTACGAGGGTTAAACCACTAAGGTCAAAACGTATCCGTATTTCGGAAATAACCGAAAGTTTGTATGATTTCGACGATTTCGCCAAAATATCTATACATTTTTACGATTTTGGCGAAATCACCGATGGTTTTATATGATTTTGATGAATTTCTCCTTCATTTTATACGATTTCGCCAAAATCCCCTTAATTTTATACAATTTCGGCGATTTCGCCACTTTATTGTGGCAATGTGACAAACTTGGGTCATCAATATTTGGGTATAATTGTGTGGTGATCATTTCGGAAATTTCGACAAAATTTGTAGTGACTTCCGAAAACGTACCATACAAAATTATTAATATTGTATGTTTTGGTTTGACATGGTCTAATACCAATTTTGTTCATATATTTGTTTAGTTTTCTATTATTTATAGATATATTATACTCTTCACAGATTAACAGATCTCCTTACCCCCATTTTCAATCAGATTTTTTTCACAGTTAATAGATTTCGTCCCGCTATAAAGCTTGATTTTTCCTGAATATTTCAATTTGATATCGTTTTTTGTATCTGAGTTCTTTCAATATTTTTGGTTTTTGATTTAATTTTTTTTTATTCCAATGCCCTCTTAACCCCCATTTTTATTCATATTTTTCTTAGAATTAATAAGCTTTATCTTCTTTAGAGCTTGATAATTTCATGTTTTATGATTTTTTTTTTAATTAGATTTTTCAAAATCAATAGGCTTTGTCCTCTTATAGATAGAGCTTGATTTTACTTGAAATTTTCAAGTGGATATCATTTTTTCTTTTTGACTTATCGTGCATACAAAAAACGTGACCTCGGACGGAAAAAGTAAACCTATAATACTCTTCACAAACTACTGGGTGAAGAGATTAATAATACAAACTTAACCATTACGAATATAAATGTGTGTTTTGTTTGAGTAACTGATATTATATATCGGTGATTTGAGTTTAATTGTACATACTTTCTATCAGATGTCAAAGAGTATAATACAGCCAAAGAGTAGCAGTACCAAGAATAGACAGTCAGAGCGAGAAACTAAAATATAGAGAGATAGTGATACACTCTAATTTAAAAGAATTCCATATGTTGCGGCTGAGTATTTAAGTAGGGGTTGTAATTAACTGAACAGTATTTAATTCATTATGTACAGTATAATATTACAAGCAGTCAGTAAAATATTGTAAAAGACTCTGTACTTTTATAAAATATGATGAGTAAACATTGAATTTTGGAGCAGTAAAATTACTATTTGGCCTGTATTTCTATGTTCACTTTTGTGATTATAATGGTCAGTAAAAATTAATGAAATGTCAGTATGAATCAGCCGGTAATAATTCTACAAATGGTCAGTAAGAATTAATAAATGACCAGTATGCAGTAGTCGGTAATAATTTTGAAAATATGCATTAAATAAGTAGTATTATGTTCTTAGGTCGGTTAATAGGTTGCTTTCGGGCTAGTATAATAAAATAGTAGTTGCTGTATTTCTTCGCGGATTTATTTAGCACAAACGTCTGAATTTATGCTGTAGTATTATTATTTATTCTGTGCTGTAGTTGTTTGTGTTTGTATACGCGCTAACGCACTTGGCGTGTTGTTATTAGTTTCTGAGAAGTAAGGTTAAGTGACTCGTGCTCTAAGTTTCTTTGCAACGGTACGATATGGGAGATGTACCAGAATATGAAACAAGTTCCGAAAGTGAAAGTGAAGAGGCGATCACGAAGAGAAGGACGACAATAGATAAGAAATGGGAAATGGAGAAAATGTTCGAGAATAAGGCTTCTACAGTGGCTGCAGTTCAAAAGGAGCACGTGTGGAGTTTTACTTATAAAAACGTCGACACAGAAGGAAATAAAAGTGAAATTTTTCTATGTAACAAAGTTAAAAAAAGAGGAGAGCAATGCGCTGCAGGTGTGTACCTACATTGTCCCTCCATTACAAGTGAGGTACATTTATACCGATCTCAACTGGCTCACACATGTAATGTAATTGTTACGAGAGTCAAAAGTAAAATGTCCAATGAGGTAAAAGAGAAAATTAAGTCTCTATTTAACTTCGATTCAAAAATAAAATCAAAAAAGATTCTTATTTTAATGAAAAAACAAATTACTTTACCAAGTAAGACTGATCTTAATAATTACCTGTCTTCATTAAGAAAAATAAAATATGGATCCAATGTTATGAGTCTTGGTGAATTGGAAAGCTTTTGTTAACAAAAGTTCCTGATGATGTGAATGCGGCGTTTGTTGCTTCCTACCAAGTGGTATATGAAGCCTTTCTTTCGATTATTGGTTTCTACTAAAAACTTATTAAAGTTGTCATGTGATGCTAACCACATACATGCTGATGTGACATACAAATTAGTGTGGCAAGGTTTTCCTGTATTATTATTAGGAACTACAGATCGGATCGAGTGATTCATGTTTTTGGGCTATCGGTTTGCAGAAAAGAAGAAACTGAATATTTTATGTTTTTGTTTAAAACAATTAAGTTTGCCTGTCAGGATATATTTCAAAAATCAATTGCCCCAAAATACCTCATTTGTGATGCTGCTAAAAGTATCTAGAATGCCTTTATTAATGTATTTGGATCAGACGTTACTATCATAATGTGTTGGGCACATATGAAAAGATGCGTCCAAAAGAAAGCAGAACAGCTGGTGCATCCAAAGGAGAAACGAAATGATTTATTAAAATATATTGACTTCTTACAACTGAGCGAAAGTAAAGATGTTTTTAAGAAGGCGTCACATCTGTTTGTTGCAAAATGGGAGGGAGAACAAAAAAAAATTATGGAATATTTTCAACATGAATGATTAAAAAGAAATTCAAACTGGGTTGAAGGTGTTTCAAAGCTGGTTCCGTCTACAAACAATGCCTTGGAATCTTTCAACAGAGGGATTAATGATGAGAACACTTTGCGGGAGAGATTGCCTTTATCTCGATTCGTAGTTGTTCTCAAGGAATACATAAATACCTGGTCTCTTCAGTACACTGCAAATGCAAAGACAGTGCATGCAGTTCCTACGCTAAACTTAGGTTTATGGACCAAAGCTTATCAATGGGCTACTGAAAAAAAAAAAAGATTGTCTTACATGTTAATTCCGAAGGATATGTTTATTTCATTCCTGCTGGCCGAAGTAATGAAGTCACAGATTTAGAGGAAACTCTAAATGCGAGTTTTTCCACTTTTGAAGAGTTTAAAACTGTCGCGTTCAGCATTTGGACTACTACTTTTCCGAACAAATGGATTGAAGGCACTTGGAATAGCGCAGGATTTTTCAAAACATTAATTTGTAAGCATGTAGTGCGTATTGCAATAACGCTGAAATATGCAAACCCACCCGCTGAAGCCAAATTGGTTCCCATTGGAGCAAAAAGCCGACGTGGCCGACCATCTAAAGCAAGGCAGGCACTTCTTGTCCAATAGGGTAGGTATTTCACCTATATATGTAGTTAGTGCGTATTACTAATTATAATTATTTTCAGATTATCACCACTATCTTTGTACTTCATCATCTTTGTTGAGTTGTATTTTGTTTTAAATGTTTTATTAAGTTGTGTTTTGTTTTGTTTTAAGTGGTTTTGTATTTTTATATGAAATAAATATGAACAACGATTTGTTGTTTTACCGTCGCTTTATTAATTTTATCGACTGTTGATTATTTTCATCGACCTTTTATTAATTTAACTGCACTGTTATTTATACTATACTGACCGTTTATTATTTTCACCGACCATTTATTAATATACTAACCATTTATTATTTTCACTGACCATTTAATATTATACTGACCATTTATAATTTTCACCGACCATTTATTATTATTATTATTATACTAACCATTTAATATTTTCACCGAGCATTTAATATTATACTGACCATTTATTAGTTTCCCCGATCATTCATTGTCATACTGACCAAATAAAATAATGGAAAAGTGTACTTGCCATAAAATTTAAATAAAGATCATTTAATTTGTGCGGTTTAAGTAGTATGTTATCCTCAGGTGATTCCAATATAGTATCTTATGGAGCCTCTGTGATTTTATGCTAGTCTTATTTTTATTAATAAAATTGAAAAATTTGATATAAAAATTTCGTACGTTCATGGTGTTATCAATCTATCAACATTTCAAATCGGATCGGTGAGCAGGTATAAAGCGTAAAATGTATAGAATTTTTTTTGTTAGTGGTCGATATATCGACCTTTTATGGTATAACAAATGGTTATCATAAATCAGTAAGTATCCAGATGTGATACAACCTTAAAAGGTATAAATGTACTAACTTCTAAGAAATTTTTAGTTTATAACAAATAATACCTTCTCCAAATCCTTCGCTAGCTTTTAGTTACCCATTTTGCTCTAATTGTATTAAAACAGAACCATATTTTTATTTTAGTCATTCCAATGGATGTCAAGAGTACTTCAAGCTGTAGACTCGATTCATCAAGTCGGTCTTTACTGTTTGGCTTTGGTACCTCCAAATTACCTGCCGAAGACACCTCTCGGAGGAATTCATTTGTCTGAGACTAAACGGAGATTCATGGACGGTAATTTGCATCCAGCAAACGTACTCATGTGCCCCCACACTTGCGTTACCAATCTACCTAAACCTAGAGAAGTTCATACAGGTAAATTATTGGTTTTTGTTTCGTACGTTCACATTAACTCGTCTTTTTTTTTGTTTGTTTTATGCATACGGATTTAATACAGGGTGTCACTGAAAATAGTTTTCACAGTTTGGCCTTTGTACCTATAAATTCTTAATAATTCTGATTAGGTGCGGGTTTACTATTATTTTTATAATTAGGAAAAACTTTTTTGTCCTAAATAATGTATTCTATGTCCATCTCGTTATTTTCCTAACGCAATATTTTCGGGAATGCCCTGTATTTAGTCAGTGAATTAATTATTTCTTGTCTAAATGACAAAAATACTGGTGTATTTCTTTTTGTTTTACAGCAGCAAATATCACATTTAATCAAAATTAAAACAATCTTATTTATAATTAGCTTGTTTGTTTTAATAAACAAATTATATTTCAAGCAATTTCAATACACCAACTAACACTTTAGAAAGGGGTGTTAATTTTTTTATTGATTTGTGTTTCTATTCAAACTGTTCAGTTGAAGTAATCTTTTATAAGATGCATCAAGAATAGTTGTTGGTAATATTTGTAATAACTATGGATTTTTATTAAAACTAAAATTCTTAATGCCTAACATTTCTTCATTTATCTTATTTGATTTTCATTTTCTTTTCTAAACCTTTTCTTTTTCGGGTCTTAGTTTGGTTTTAGTTGGTTATAGTTTAAAGGTAAATGGTATATTATGGGTATTGGATTATGAGAAAGTACTAACTGTTTCTATTAATACTGGGTGATCAGGAATAAAATTAAATTTTTAAAAAATCATAGCAAATGTGTATCAAATATTCTAATTGATTTATTGATAAAATATAACAGTAGCCACATGCGGATATATTTTAAAAAGAATGTAGTCTATATGCCTGTCATGTTGTTCGTGCAAAATTCTAATTTTTGGAATTTAAAATACGCGCCTTTAATTCCTCAATATTAACTGAAGGGTCGATGTATACGCAGCTTTTGAGATACCCTCACAAAAAATCCAATGTCGTAAGGTAAAGTGACCTTAGAAGACAGGAATGTCACCACGTTTGAAGATGATGGTACCCAGGCACATACTGTATAACTGTCAATTGACGAGGTTACCCTCATCTCCAAACGTGGTGATATTTCCTGGCCTCCAAGGAGACTCCAATGGATTTTTTTGTGGTGTCGATATCGAAGCATTAAAGGAGCATATTTGAAATGAAATCGACGTGTTTTCCAAAAATTAAAAGTAATTTTGCAGCAGTGCTATGAACAAGATAGCAGGCATATGGGCAACATTTTTTTTTTTTAAACACATATCCACATTTGTCTTCTCTATTATTTTACCAATAAATCAATTATAATTTTTAATGCATATTAGGTATGCTTTTTAAAAAAACTGAATTTTATTTCTGGTCCCCCTCTATGCAGTTTTAGTAGAACTAACAGTGTATGGATTGTGTGTTGTAATGCATTTGATAAAATCACTGTGAGAATGCTGTGCCATTCTAATGGCTGATATCCCTGCTTAGTATCCCCTTATAAATAAATATCTATTTTCTATTGCATTTTTTTATAGATTTGTACTTTTAAAGTATCGTAAGTTCTATTTAGATCAATATAAATTGATACTTCCCTGTAATAGTTTCTGTTATTTTATTTTTGTTTACTCTATTATCTTTCCAAATTTCTGTATTACTTCTAGCCTTTACAACTAGTGATTGATTATATTATTAGTTTGTCTAATCAAATCCAAATTCGCAAAACACGATAATTTATTAATTTTTGAAGATATGTAATTGTTTTGGTACTGTAGTGATCACCAGACAGTATTTCACTAGTTAAACTTCACAAGCAATAATTATTGCACGCACCAGCACAACCAACAAATTATTATAAAAACTGAAAAGAACTGTTTGTTAAAGCAGTTGCATCTTTATGAGTACCGTACTAAACGAAATGTAAACTTCAAATATTTTATAAAAAGAGCTTAATAACCTAATATTAGAAAAAAATACGCTAAATCTGTACCACATAAACTTTGTATTAATAATTAATTGACTATGTGTTTCGTCCCAAGGGCCATTATCAGAACTAAAAGAGATAGAAAAAGTTAACATTACTTTAGTTTAGGTTTTGTGTATTACTTAGAAAATGTTCTTCCTGTAACCTGTAAAGCTATGTTCCAATTTAAAAAAGAAAAATACAGAACAAATTATCTCTAATCAAGTTCGAAGTTAGTTCTTGATCCTTCATTATTTATAGAGCCTTCTGTTTTTGGTCTTGGTTGATGAGACGCTTTCAAACAGTTCTCAATCATGGATAACGGATAGTCCGTACCTTTTGTTACGTCTTCGCCCACAATTGCTTAATTTAATTAATTTTTCGACGATTAGGAGACACATGCTTTCCAATTTATTTTTTTTCTCGCTTCAGCCATACACAAAGTTCCAATTTATATACTAAGTAATTAAATAACTCTAATTGTATCTCTAATACACTTAAGTTAGAAAATAATTTTCAGTTTAATTTAATAATTCTCATAAGTTAGGTTCATTGTAGTGTTTGCTGAACCTTCTATGCTGATTTATTTTTAAGGGTACTGAATAATATACACTGCGCATCAAAATTAAAATAAAATTAGTTTTATAAATGTCATTTTGTGACATTATGAATTTATTTATTTAAAAAATAGCCATTTAAATTGTTTAGGGTTTGGAAGTTGTATCAGTTATCTACCCATTATATCCGACAGATGCTCAATGAGATTAGCGTCTGGACTTCTGAGAGGCCAAACCATTGGAGCAATTTCGACTTCTGGCTACTTGCGATCTGGCATCATCATGTCTCAACATAAAATGATTTCCAAAGAATGGTGCAAGTTGCATAATATGATTTTCTAAAATTTCCATAATGTACCGTTGTGCAGAACAGCCTCCATGACTCACTGCACCAACAATGTTATATTGTGTGTGTTTCTGCTGGCCTTGTTTTATTTCTTTATCCTATTTTGTCTATCGTCCGAGAAAAGAGAATCTGGACTCATGAAAGAATAATATTCGCCCCAATCTTCGTTATTCCACGCAATATGTTCACGTGCAAAATGCAGTCGTTGTCGGTGCCCCCTGGTGAGCAAGAGACCCGTGGCTGCCCGTCTTGGCCTAATATCGTCTTCTCCAAGTCTTCTTCTAATTGTTATTGACTTATTCTAAAGTTATAGAGCTCCATAAATTCAATTTGCAAAGAGTAACCACTCTAATGCAGTCAGCTTCCCATAAATTACTATTTTGCTTTGGTGTTATTCATTTTAAGCGAAAACAATAAATAAAACCTAAAAAACATGTGATATTGCTAGAAAACGTATACAAATCACACTGAGTAAAACAACTTTTTCCATGTTTCTTTTTGTAAAAAATTTATCAAAATTGTTATATATTTTGTTTTAATAATGCGTGAATTTTTATAATAAGATGATTTGTTATCTTACTTCTTATACTTGCACCAACTTTAAGTTTATTTGTTTTATATGTATCATGTATCCTAAGAGAGTGAACTTTTCCAATCTCCTTTTATGTCTGATAATGCCCCTTACCGAAAACGGTAACTATTTACTTAATAAAAAATGTGTGTGGTACATATTTTGTTGAATACCCCTTACGATTTAAATAAATTTAACCATCATTTGAAGTTAAGGTTAAATCACTCACCAAACAGTCATTCTTTCTCTTTTTAAGTAAAAACAGATAATTAATTCTTTTATAAAATGTTAGTCAAGCCATCAATAAAGAAAGTCTAGGGACTACATACAAATCCAACCTTGCTTATAAAAATGCTTGTATTTGTTTTCACAGCAGATATGTTTTCCAAACAGTTAAAAAACCAGACATATAGCTCTTATATATTTTCTATAATTACTTCTCTAACACCTTACGTAGCCTTTTAACCGGATAGCGTTTCAGTTTACATCACGATAGGACTAAAGGCTTCAAACATCTAGTCCATCTCAAATTGCCTAATCTCACATTCTTTTTAGTAAATTATGAATGAAAACTTCTTTAGAGCTATTGGGTACAACATCTCTTAATTATAGCTGCCGTTGGTAATACCTTGGGAATCATCTTTAGGAGAAAGACGCACTTCTTCAATTACCAGGAAAAAAGCAGTATATCCGAATGTACAAAGATATACATTTTAGTGGATAAAGCAAAATAACAGAATTAGTGCGTTCTGAAAGATGCGAACAACATGATAAAACTGAAAGTACAAGTATGTTACTGAATAATACAAGATGTTTAAATAACGTAGCTATACAGACAAAAATTAGAGTATTGAACTAGATAGTTTTGTTGAGATGGTTTGTTGGCTGACTGTGAAATGTATTCAAAACATCAATCACAGTTAAGCTGCGTCATCCCAGATACCGTTGGAATGGTTGACCGAGCTCGTAGAATGTGGATTGTATGAGTTGAATGAATGGGAAAGCAAGGGCATCCAAATAGTGACACAATAAGCTGCATGGGCTGCTGGAACCCCAGAGGCGAGGAGGCAGACTCGAACCCAAGCTGGAGAGAACCTTCCTGGACCACTCGGAAAGGAGCAAAGAGTAAACGATTATGGTATTGTCTTATTTTAGAACCGAACACTGATCAAAACAACAGGAAAAAGTATTTATGTGGCAAATAAAGATGAGCTATACAAATTTGTGGAAATATATACTAAGACAAGAGAGTTATGAAATTGTCTCCCCAAGCAGAAAATAAAACCAGAAACGTCCAAAAGAAACACAGGACGACAGAATAATTGGGACGATCTCTTGGGGCTAACATAAGCTAAGATACTTCTGGATGACTATAACTAAAACTGATTAAAAGCCTGTATCTCTTTAAGCAAGAGCATTTTGGCTTATTGTCTAGCACTCCAAAATCCAATGCCATTATACTTAGGAGGCTTAGGAGCGTACCACATAGAAGAGGGCGATCTACCTAACTTTATAAGCATCAATACTTGCTTCATTAGTGACATAAGAGGATACAGTAGATCTTTTAGGTCGCAGTGTATTAATGCCCCATGCATAACACATCAACAGAGAGCAGAAGGGTTATTGGCAGAATTAAAATACCTGAGATGAAATAAAAGGAAATGGAAACAATTCATTACTGCTTTATGTTCTTAATAGAAATAACTGGCCTACTTTAACTGTTAATCCATAAAAAAACTCACTTTATTGAGGCCAGATTCAAACACCTAGAGCCGACTAATACAACCTTTCTGTGTACGTTAAATACTACTCTATCAGATGTTTTTCCTAAACCTTTAAAGCCCACATCAAAAAAGCTAAGTTTAATTTCCCCAAAACCCTTTATAGTACATACAACTTAGTTCAGTTAATGAATCTCATTAAAATTATCTGCATAGAATAGAAAACTCGGAAAATAATCTCTGTGAGAAAGATAATTGAACCCGAAACACACAGTATTTAATTTAATTATGTTACCTCCTTGTGCAGAAAGTTCAAATTCAAAATGATAAACTTCCAAATAAAAACAAACTGCAATTAAATAAACACCTGATCAGCGAGACACGGTACCTTAATCCCTTGCTAATCAATCATAAGTATTAATAATTTTGTAATACTTACCAAATGTGTATAATAGTAAGAATTAGATGTAGCTACATATGTATTTTGTTCCTTTTCACACCTTTTGATCAACTAACATTACGAAAGCTTTTTGCTTGAGTGCTATAGCATGTTGTCCTTTCTGCGTTTCAGCAACGGAATGTGTTTCAGACGTGGGACCGGCGTCTGTTATCGTCGGAAATCTTGTTCAAGGAAATAGACTTGCTAGCGCACAAGGAAGGGAAGTAGGAGGGCTTTTAGACGAAGAAGCTGATTCTTCCAAAAAGGTATATACAATTATTATCTATTGTAGTGATTAAATAGTAATAAAACAAATTTTATTCATACTGTACTAATTTTATATTTTTAATTGAAACCTACTTTTTAATTTAAGCAACAATTTATTGCTGAAATTCTACGATGGAGGGCCCAAGGTACTTCGGATCACATCCTCTTTACCCTTCTGAACAGCAAAGGAGCAGTAGCCAAGGTGCTTTCTTGTTCTGAACTTCATAAAAAGGCTGAAAGAATAGGAAATCTTCTTGTAGAAAAAGGAAAAATCAACACTGGTGACCACGTGGCGCTAATTTTCCCACCAGGATTGGACCTTATATGTGCTTTCTATGGATGTTTATACGTTGGTGCTGTCCCCGTAACTATTAGACCCCCGCATCCACAAAATTTGCAGACAACGTTGCCAACAGTCAGGTATGGCATAATATCTATTAGTGTTCTCTAGGTCACAGTTTGACGCTTTACATTATTACAGGATGATTGTAGACGTATCGAAATCCGTGCTAGTGCTTTCAATCCAGGCTGTGATCAAACTTCTTCGCTCAAAGGAAGCCAGTAACGTAGTAGATATCAAATCATGGCCTTTGATTTTGGACACCGACGACATGCCTAAAAAGAAATTGCCAGTGCCATATAGGGCTCCTACCGCTGAAATGATGGCTTATTTAGATTTTAGCGTTTCAACGACAGGAATGTTAGCCGGCATAAAAATGTCCCATGCTGCTGTGACAAATTTGTGCAAAAGTATGAAGTTGGCTTGTGAATTGTATCCAAGCAGGCACATCGCTTTGTGTTTGGATCCGTACTGTGGACTAGGATTTGCTCTTTGGTGAGTTAACTTTGTATTATCCTTAATTTATAAATTCCAATGTTTACAACTTTTATTATCCATCATTTTATTTTGCAGGTGTCTGAGCAGCATATATTCCGGTCATCATTCCATTTTAATCCCACCATCTGAAGTAGAAGTGAATCCAGGACTCTGGTTGACAGCAGTCAGTCAATACAAAGTCCGAGACACGTTCTGTTCGTACGGAGTCATGGAACTTTGTACAAAAGGTCTCGGTTCGTCAGTGAATCAGCTCAAAACCAGAGGAATCAATTTGGCCTGTGTTAGAACTTGCGTCGTAGTAGCAGAAGAGCGACCAAGAATGAATTTAACCACTAGTTTTTCGAAATTGTTTAGCGCTTTGGGACTGAGTCCTAGGGCAGTTTCTACGTCGTTCGGATGCAGAGTTAACGTAACGATTTGTTTGCAAGGTGCTTCGAGTCCTGAACCTTCAACTGTTTATGTAGATTTGAGGGCTTTGAGAAATGATAGGGTGAGCTTAGTAGAAAGAGGCAGTCCTCATAGTTTGTGCGTGATGGAGAGTGGGAAATTGTTACCTGGTGTTAAAGTCATCATCGCCAATCCTGAAACGAAAGGGCAATGTGGAGATTCTCATTTGGGCGAGATATGGGTGCAGAGTGGACATAACGCTAGTGGTTATTTCACTATTTACGGAGATGAGAGTGAATATGGAGATCATTTTAATGCCCATTTAGTAACTGGTGAGTAAAAATATTTGTATCTCTCATTACTTAATTTTCTATTATAATATATTTGAACAAGTACATAAAGCATTGCTATGTAGTACTCAATGTTGTACTCAGAATCTACTCTACAAATTTTGGTTAATTTTAAAATTATTTATATATGCAGGGTAACAATGTAAAAACTTAGAATGGCTATATCTCATGAACTAAAGATTATATTAGAAAATACTCTAGGATACGAAGGGGGAATTTGAATGACAATTATTTATTAACACACATAAAATAAATATGAAAAAATTTTATTATTGGACAAATATTGAGAGCGATAATTACTGAAATACATTCAAATTTCAATTATTTATAATACTAGTGTTTCGATTATATTAAAAATACACCAAATATTAAAAGATTTAAAAACCAACTAAAGTACTTAATAATAATTTAAACAAATAAATAAAAGTTCTTTGATAGTATCGTTCACAGTTTTTATTTAAGGTTCACTACATCAGCGCCAAAGAGCCTGGGTTTGTTTTTTGCTTTGTTTTGTATTCTGTACTATTTTATATTTTTATATTAAGTTATATTTGGGACGGGACAACAACCTTTATACATCCTTAAATCTACGGCGTTGCTCGCAAGAAATTCAGAAAAAAGATTCTATTTAAATATTAACTATATTAAATAAAATATTATAACAGGAAATAAATTAAAACTAGTTGGGATATATTACGAACAAAAATGTTATAAACCAGAAAGGTTAATATAAGGGTATAATAGTATATTATACACCAAAGGACTGAAGTGGTACTTTTTATCCCAGAGGGAGGGCTACTACCCATGCAACAGCAGTCCGTCATTATGAAGTGATTTTTTGGTGTGCGTTACGTCATTTGATGGCGTGAAAATAACGTTATGGTAACGTGAGAATGTCACAGCGGAATGACGTCATTCCATATCGTCATTTTGACGAATCGATATCACGTTAAAGTAACGTGTATATCGGGTTTCCTAGGCTAGGCAAATTAACGTCATTATCACGAATCTACCTAACGTCAAAAAACACATGAAAAATATATTATAAAAAATAAATTACACTGGTAAATAAAAAAGTTATGAGGAAGAAACCAAAAGGAATAAAATGGCAAAAGAATATTAAAGGAACTGACACAGCATACCTAAAATTGTAGATTTGATTTTAATTGGGGGTGGGCGAGCATGCTTTACGATTTCATCATCTTCAGTATCATTGAATGACAGCTTTCTAGTTGGCACCTGTTTTCTTTTAGTAGGTACTTTATCAGCCTTGGAATGTAGATCTGAGGTAACTTCGACTTTTTTTAATTTGGTACATCACTTATCATTATCATCTAAAATAAAAGAACTATTAAAATATAAACCACTGAAAATTCCTAAATATAGAAAGTAAATTGTGTATCTAGTTGTAAAAACTACCTTATCAGAGGTATATATATAGTCTGAGTTTATAATAAAAGTTAATAAAAAAAAAGATCATATATTTTGTGAGATGATCAAAGGTATCTAAATCAAGTGACCCCCTACAAATCTTTTATTTTTAAATAAACTATTAAAAAAATACCCTGAAAGAACTCATAATCAAAAAATAAAAGTATAACATTACTCACCAGTCTTATATTATAGGATATTTCTTTATATATTTCTTTATATATTTCTTTATATATTTCTTTATATATTTCTTTATATATTTCTTTATATATTTCTTTATATATTTCTTTATATATTTCTTTATAAAGGCGGCCAAAAGACTTATTTTTTACGCCGCGTCGGCCATTTTCTGCTCATCTCACAACCGCCAGACCGTCATCATCCGGTGTTTCAAACTCAACAATGCAATACATCTGTAAAATACCAAATTCGGTTTAATATACTTTATTATTTTGTCACACTCTATTTTTTACCTTTTTCTAAAACATCTTATCAAATAAAGTACAATTTAAAAATGCACCACGTTCACAAGGTTATGACTGTCACTCACGAGAATTATCAAGATGAAGGAAACAGGAAACAACAATGACAATTGACAATATGACATTGCCAGAAGTATACGAAAAAATAACGTAATTATGACTAATTCTAAGTGACGTCTATTCTATGTCATCAATGTCAATAACACGTTACTGATTAGGATATTGTATTTCGGATAAATTAATGCTAAAAAATTACGTCATAATGACGAGTCTGTATTAACGTCTAATTAAGGTTGCAAAAACGACGAGTAAACCCAAAAAATCACGTCATAATGACGGCACCTTGCTGCTTGGGTACAGTGCGTCAAGGGATAAAATGTCAGTTCACTCCCGTGGTTTACACACCATTTTATGCACTTTAGGAGAAGAAAAACTAAGAAGAATAATATTGAAAATTATGAAAAACCACTTAACGTTACCCCAATAACAAAGCACGATGTCAATGGAAGTTTGTTATAGTGTTGACGTACATTGTACTTTGTAGTGTATTTTGGGTTGTATGGTATAAGCATATTTGTATTTTTAATCCCTATGGAGTAAAAGTGCTAATAAGTATATTGTTCTTTTAATCCCTAGAAAGTTAAAGTGTCACACTTTTTTAGTTAAGGTGCATAAAAATATAAAGGTTTGCCTATTGAAAAGCTACTTTTCTAGATTTAGCAGATGCAAATGTTTTAAAAATTCCTAGTAAATCTACAGTACCGCTAACTGTATTTTCCATGGAGAGCAATGGCATGGAGTTCCTTAAATATGTTTTTATTAATTTTAGTTTTGAAAACGATGGTTACGCCGATGTAACTGTCACAGAAATGATATAGATAACTTAGTTATTACTTTGGTTAAGCTATACAACTGGATGAGTAATTGTCAACCAGAATAAATTTTAGCGAATCCTTTACTGACTTAATATTTTTAAGTCTGTCAGAAAAATATTTACTAAAATATATAATTGATATGAAAGTCTACCTGAAATATATCCTTCACATATTTCACTAATGTTTTCCGCCGTTTGGTTTATTACCGTATCACTAGAATTTAACAGAACTCCTGTATTCAAAATATTAAGGGTCATAAAAAACTTTAACTCTAAAAACATCTTCAGCTGTTTCAAAAACAAAATCGTTTGCAATTTCATCAAAAAAAAACATTTGCTGTGAATATGTTTTTTGCAAAATTCTGGGATTATATCCTAAATACTTGCCGAAATATCGGCCTCTTCTTTATGTCTAAAAATTTATTCCGAAGTTTACATATGTTATTTATAAAATTTACTATATTTTTGGATGTCTTGCTGCTCATTGGCTAAGAGGTTTGATACTGTATCTATGATGCTATTTAAAATTCTAGATTGTAAAATAAACAAAAACACAATCCTCTAATGTACTTTTAAATTTTTTCGAGTCTTCTATTTTGGCCATATTATTGGATGTTAAAATAATTCTTAACAGGGCCTTAAAAACATCAATATACCTAAAATGTAGGGCTTTGATAGCATCATTGCGTGAAGACCAACAGGTTGATGATATTTTTTAAGTTTGAATTTTGACTCGCCATAGCGAAAAATAAAAGACTCAATTTTAGAGATCTATGCTCTGGTTAGAATCTATAATTATTGAAAAAAAAAAGGAAACCGACTCTGTATATTATTTTCCCAATATATCTGTTACCGCCCTATTATTTTATTTTGTATTGACATTTTAGAACGACTGTCTAATAATGTTTTTAAAATTAATTAATATTTGGTAAGTAACTTAATTATGGACAAAACACTCCTGGATTTCTTGCCGTGGGCCCTTTGAAGTCACGGGCCTGGTTCTACCGAACCCATGGAGCCATGGTAGCTACGGCGCTGCACAACATATGTATAGGATTTATTTCCATCTTCTGGTGCAATCAACGACGAAAAACTATTAGACTAATACATTAATTCATAGTTAAGCCTTTATTGCAAGCATTCAGATTGTGTTTTATATCGAGCAGACAGAGCTGTCGCATTGGCTGTATCATTAGAATGAGCGAGATGGTTCTCAATTTGAGTGGGGATATTTTGCGCGAGTTTATTTATCTGGGGTGCGAGCACGCGATTTATGAATGAATGATTTTTAGATTAGAATAAATTTTATTTGCATTATAAATATATCTACATGTGAAACACAATACCGAACCCGAGCGGCGGGTTTTTAGCGCGGGGTCTTGGGGCCATGGAGGATATATCCGTCAATATAATTTACTATTGACTTAGGTATTTATGGTAATGTAGCAGCCCTTACTCCTTACCTAAACGGTATTATTAAGGGATTTTCTTGGGTTTTGGGATCAGGAATGGAAAAGCTAAAAAAAAAACAGGGTTGTCCTTGTGTGTGCGTGGGTCTTGTTTATAGTCTGTTTTAACTACAGCTGTCAGGCTTGGTGTTCGATGGTCCCACTACCAGAGCATAAACCGCATTGCTTTTGAAACTTTTATTTACATGTTTAAAAATCAAATATGTACAACTTAAATATAAAATAAAAACACAATTCCCGATGATTTTGGGTCGGCTTTTACAGTTACCTGTAGGGCCTATGGTAATACTTTCACCTATTTTACACGAAGTCGTTTAATGTTTATGGTTAGGCTAAATGTAGCAGCTCACTCCTTGCCAGAGAGCCATTATTGAGGGGTTGTGGTGTTTTTGTACTTGTTCAAATATACTATAAATGACATCGTGTTATATGTATAATTTATTTACAGGCAATACCGGAGAAGTATATGCTAGAACCGGCTACTTGGGATTCTTGAGAAGGACAGAACTATCAGAAACCACTGGTGCCACAGACGAAACTATAATTAGTAGAGAAAGTGACAACGAGTCTTTAGGTTCTTCGCACCACATTTTACCTTCTGCATGTGATTCACCCGAACTGCACGATGCAGTATTTGTTGTAGGTGCTTTAGACGAAACTATTATGTTGAGAGGCATGAGATATCACCCCATAGATATAGAAAACAGCGTTATGAGGTGCCATAAAAAAATTGCTGAATGGTGAGTAGAAACATTTTTGTCTGTTTTGGTAAATATTTATCATTTAATTTCTTTCTTAGCGCTGTATTCACTTGGACTAACCTACTGGTCGTAGTGGTAGAATTAGATGGTAACGAAAGTGAAGCTCTAGATCTTGTTCCCTTAGTCACCAACACCGTTTTAGAGGAACATCACCTTATCGTCGGTGTTGTAGTAGTTGTCGATCCCGGAGTCGTTCCCATCAATTCACGGGGAGAAAAACAACGGATGCACTTACGCGACGGATTTCTAGCTGACCAATTAGATCCAATTTACGTGGCATATAACATGTAAATTGTGAGAGCGGATCACAATGGAGCTTTTCAATAAGTTTTGATGATTTTTAAGTAAAGGCGTTAAGTTTATTTTCATTTATTTAGAGTATCTAAATATAAATATTTTTTGGTTTATTACAGTTATTGATTATTAGTTTGTTACTAATTTTTTTTCTGTTAAATGTTTAAAACTTTCTTGAAACATTGATTTAAAATAAACTTGAAGAAAATTGGATGCCTTTATTAAAAATGTGTCAAAACCGCATATAAAAAGTTTTTCAACCAATGATTAGTCAAATTATATATAAAATTTAAAAGCTGTATTGTTATAATAGTTGGATTTTCATTGGAGGCGAAACTTTCAAGACGACCTGCAAATGGAACCCAATAATTTTTTTGAAATCAATTTCCGACTATCTTGACATTACACCTTCTAGTTTAATATTACCCATTGACGTATTGTCAGGATAGGTTAACTTAGCAATTAAATTGTTAGTTTTTTATTTGAAATTATTTTAAAATGTTGTGTTGTAAAGATTGCAGTTTGTTATTTAAGCATATACGCCATAAATTCGTGATTTAAACTATCTTAATTGGTATTATGTATTGAAATATATGTTTTGAGGTTATGTCCTAAAATTCTTTTACCGTTTGTAAAGGAGGAGTCACCTGGATAATTTAACGTTTTGAGATGACGTTTTAATAATATAAAAAGCAATTTTTAATAAAACGCACTACTACTGACGAATAAACTGTTGTTTAAGGTAGGTAAGAGAATTTTGGAACTCCCTGTACAAAAAAGATATCTGCTCAATTTCTTTTATAGGCACAATGTGTATATTGATCAAAAAACTATGATATAACTTAAGAACAAGGTATAGATGTAAATACTGCCGCGTAATAGGCTCTAATACATATGTATCGTTATTTTTGTCTCTAATATTTAGATTGTACATTAAACATTTTATTTTTAGTTAATTTGCTTAGCGCAATTGCAACTGCCTATAGATTTTGATTCTTATTCTTTCTTAATTTTTCAGTAAAAAGAAAACAAACTGCTCTTAGAGTCAACTTTTGCATTATCTAGTTTGGATTTGTTGGCCAGACGCGTGTAATTTGATGACAAAATTTGAGGGTTGATTCTTAAAACCTCTTTTATACGGGGTTAGTGGTAAATATGATCATTCCGGTTATTAAAAAAAAAAGTACAAAATAATTCGATATCCAGAAATTACTAAAAATTAAATAAATTTTGGAACATTGGTTTTGCAATGTAAATTATAAGACCATATTGTTTTAAAATCCATATTAATTTAAAAAAATAAAAATTTAGAGAGTCATGATATTTTGAAATACACTATTTAGCTGTTCTCTCTTTTAGCGTAAAAGACAATTTATGTTTTAATCATCCTGTATATTATTTATTGGATCTATTTCTTATTTCTATATGTTGACTATTGGTTTAATGTTAATCAATTTTATTTTAAAAATTAACTCAAAAAAATTAGTAGAGGTTCTAAAATTGCTCTTTCAGATATTGTGAAGTAAACTATTTATAGGTTGTAAGAGTAAATCAATTTATTTTTATAAATTCTTGGGAGACAAAAGAATAAATATTAAAAATTAGATTGAAGTGTTTAGAAATGACGTGTACCAAAGAGAATTTGACAAAACTATTTTTCTCTTAGACATAGAAAAACTATAAAACGTTTTCTTATTTAACTAACAGTTTAATTTGGAGATAAATTGTATTTGCACCATAGACAACGAAAGTGGCTGCTAAATATCTTTATTAAACTAAAAAACATTTAATTAGTGGAAGAATTACAAAAACTACTAAATAATAAAAAAACAACTGCTGTTAAAACTAAAAGAATTTTATTTTTACGGAGATGTTAGAAATTGTTCAGGTCAGATTATCAGAGCTTCTGAATAAGACGAATTTTCGTTATTTAACTGGTTTCTACGGATCAACTTCTACGTCTTCTTCATCAGTTTCATCCAATTGATCAGGTATCCCTTTAGTAGTCTTCAGCGTTAAATACTCTATTTAATACTGTGATTTCATGAAAAGTGATTTACATAATCATTTCAGGTTGTCATATTTTTTTGAATTTTTCAGAAGTTCTGAAAAAATTACATTTCAATAATTTTGCCCGTTATTTGATTTTTAATTCAAATGTCAAATTTTGCGGCGAAGTACTGTGCATGGTAAACGGTGGTAGAATCTTTGAAAAATGTTGCTCTCCTAATATCTGTTATTTTGATTATTGGAGTTTTTTTTTAGTCAAGCTCTTAGAATCCAGAAAGTCTATAAATGTTTACTCTTCAACGCTGTAAGGTTCTGGTGTATTAGGAGCATTTCTCAAGACAGTTGTCCATTCGGACAGAGCTTGCACTACAATATTTTTTATATAATTTTTAATCACGCCATGCTTAGAATCTGCAGGAATATAGTGTGTCCGAAATTGGTGATGCATGTATTGCGATCTCCGAAACTGTTAGAGATAGAAAAATAGTTAAATGGGGAAAGTTATAAACAATGCTGTTTATAATTCAATGCCGTTTAGTTTGAGATAAAAATCCAATATGTCGCCCATATGAAAAAACAAAAGTTGATGATGGTTCCAAGAAACCGAAACGTTGCAAATAAAATCTGACGACACAGGCGTTTTTTACGTAAAAAGTTTCTAAAGAAAGTTTTTACAGATTTTAGAAATTTTCACAAATAAAGAAAATGCAGGGTATTTTCGGAAATTTTAGTTTTTTCAAAATATCTTAAAAACCAAAACAGAAAAAATATCAAACTAAACGGCATTGAATTATAACCAGAATTGTCTAAAACTTTCACCATTTAACTGTTTTTCTATCTCTAACAGTTTCGGAGATCGCAATACATGCATCACCAATTTCGAACACACTGTATACGAATGACATGTTTATCAGGAAAACTATGGTGAATGATTTTATATTAAATACTTGGTCCAAGAAATATTTTATTTACTGCAGTTGTAATACAGGGTGTTCCATCTCAGACGAGCTCGTATATTTCTTATCCCATAGTAATTGTAACAATTTCCCGAAACACGTCGGATGATTTTCTTTGGAGGATATCTTTTGACGTATATTTGAGGCTTGAACGAGCAACCCCCTATGAGGGGGCGCTTCAACCCCTCAAAAAGAGGGGTTGAGTGATACTTTATTTGTAAGGTCTTGGAAGCCTCTTTACAACGGTGTATGAAAAAAATCACATTCTTAAAAAAAATTAATTGTTATATCATACATGAAATGATCGAAGAAACGTGATAAACACCTTCTAAGAACAAAAAATGAAGGCAAGATAAGAAAATGTTTTGATTTTTTTTTTATTTATTAGTTCGAGAGAATTTATTATTGTATGGAAGTCAATGGAGGACAATTTGAGCATTTGATTTAAAATCGCATTTTTTTAAGATTGTTTATTTTTTTGCGTTTTATTGGTTTTTATTTATTTTACAATTTATTTTGATTTTTATTTATTTTTTTAATTTATTTATGTATTTGATCTTTTTATGTATTTCCTTTATACTAATACGATAAATTATGTGCTATTCCCCGTAAGAATTCATAAGTGTTCGCAGGATCGTAATTATTTACCAGACTTGAAAGCCGCTCTGCACAATCTCTGTATTTTTTACGTGTATGAGAGCCTTCCAAGCCTTCTACATACTGTTCAATTTGAAGTTCATAAGCTCTGCTCCAGCTGAATGGCTTTAATAAATCTCCAAATGTTTGGATTATCTGCGGAAATCTGTTGTTCAAACACTCGATACCATCTTGCTATGAAATTGTTTGTTTTTGGCAAACTTTCTTGTACCCCATCATAACAATTCCACAGATCATGTGAAAATAAGGGCAAACGTCGTCTACCTCTTTGTGGACGCCCGATCCAGGTATCTTCATAATAATCAAATACTGACTGGGCTTCTGCAGGTAACACATTTTGCTCGCAAATGGTTTCAAATGCCTCCACTACGTCTGCAGTAGGAACGAATGCTAAAGCCGACAATAATCGGAGATTTAAAGCAAAATCAGTTTCGTATCTTCTTTTTAAACCGTCTGACTGGATTCTTCTAAAGATACAATGACTGAAATGGAAAAGCACCTACGATGTAATCACATTTCCAATAAATGTTTTGATTTTCTTTATCTTTCTGGTAAAGATAACCGTCGATCAATAATTTACTCTTCCCTTTTTCACTAAGTACAAACTTCAAAGCCATTTTACGTCGTGACTCTTGCTCAGAGTTTGGAAAATAAAGCAATATAAACCTTTAGTGCAGTAATTATATGAATTAAATAATGACTTAATTGTTCATTGTAAACAACAATTTTAGCGAAAAAGTACAACATGTGCATGTGCCGAAAATATTGGTTATAAATCACTATCCGTTATAAATTTATAAAGTTGTGCTAAAATACATTTTGCGGTTGATTCTCCTTTCGAGCAATTGTTCTTCGGGAAATTCGGTCAATTTCCTATTCGATCAATTTTGTATCAGGAAATAGTCCATTCGGGCAATTGTCCATTCTGGTAACTATCTTCGGGGAATTGTCTTTCAGGAAATTGTTTTCGGGCAATTGTCCGGATAACTCTTCATTTGCTATTATGTTTTCGCAGTGTCTGTTATTATTATCACATATGTCTACTATTTTAAACTCATTTATTTACATCGACGATACGGCAATGCCGCAGTACAATACTTATTTACAAAAATATTAAAGCTATATTTCATTTGACTGAAATGGTCAAAAATATTTCTCATCATTTACAAATAAAATCGAGGTCGATGAAAAAATTATATATGCAACCCTTATATAGTTTATCTGATAACTTTTACGTACTCGTTGTTTAATAAGTATTTACAGTTTGTTTGGTAGGTACGTTATTAAATAAATATAGGTTTTTAATTTTATTGTTTACTAAAATTTATGAATAACCGCTGACTGATCATATTTACCATTTCCAGAGTATATCTA